GTGTTATTCTGGAATGGCCATGAAAACCGCTCGATACTACAAAAACAAGACGAAGTGGATTTTAATGTACGCTGTCTGAAGTTCAAATAACCAATTACTGTGAATACAAAACAATTATGCGTTTATGTGGGAGTTAATAGACAAATGTTGCAGCATCCTGTCTTTGCCAAAAGAAGACGAAGTTGCCATGGATTTGGGGTTGTGAATGGAGGGAGAAGGTAATGGAATATAAAAAAGCTTTTTGAAACTGTAAGCTGTTCCCGAAAATACTCATTATTTGTATCATAGTAATTGGAAACGTGAAATTGGCCTCCCTCTCCAAACGTCTTTCTTAATGAATTGTTAGATATGAATCCGCTGTCGATGCTGTTGTCACTTCTGGCAGATAGTCAGAGTTCCATTGACCATGGGGAAAGGGTATCAATACATGCTGATACAATACTGATGTGACTAACATACCATATGCAAATCTCTCCATCTATCGCTATTGCTACACAATACGGCAGTCAATACAACAGTGCCACTTGCCACCAGATCTGTGCCACCTGCCACCAGAACTGTGCATGACGTCTTTGAAATTCAATACAACAGTGCCACTTGCCACCAGATCTGTGCATGACGTCTTTGAAATTCAATACAACAGTGCCACTTGGCACCAGAACAGTGCATGACGTCTTTGATATCCAATACAACAGTGCCACTTGCCACCAGATCTGTGCATGACGTCTTTGAAATTCAATACAACAGTGCCACTTGGCACCAGAACAGTGCATGACGTCTTTGATATCCAATACAACAGTGCCACTTGCCACCAGAACAGTGCATGGCGTCTTTGATATTCAAAACAATAGTGCCACTTGCCACCAAAACAGTGCATGACGTCTTTGATATTCAAAACAACAGTGCCACTTGCCACCAGAACAGTGCATGGCGTCTTTGATATTCAAAACAACAGTGCCACTTGCCACCAGAACAGTGCATGACGTCTTTGAAATTCAATACAACAGTGCCACTTGCCACAAGAACAGTGCATGGCGTCTTTGATATCCAATACAACAGTGCCACTTGCCACCAGAACAGTGCATGGCGTCTTTGATATTCAAAACAACAGTGCCACTTGCCACCAAAACAGTGCATGGCGTCTTTGATATTCAAAACAACAGTGCCACTTGCCACCAGAACAGTGCATGACGTCTTTGATATTCAATACAACAGTGCCACTTGCCACCAGAACAGTGCATGACGTCGTTGAACTTCAATACAACAATGCCACTTGCCACCAGAACAGTGAATGACGTCTTTGATATTCAATACAACAGTGCCACTTGCCACCAGAACAGTGTATGACGTCTTTGATATTCAATACAACAGTGCCACTTGCCACCAGAAAAGTGCATGACGTGTTTTTGTTATTCAATACAACAGTGCCACTTGCCACCAGAAATGTGCATGACGTCTTTGATAGATGGTACATATTCAACAGTGACGCTGAAGTGAACGTGACTTTTTTGGTACTTGTTCAGTACAATCAGGACAGACATTTTCTGTTACCAGACATGGAAATGGCATTTTCGTACTTTATGCGTACAGAAGTGTGTCACGGTACACGACAGCGTCCCCCAAGGGACTGGTGCGTGCCAGGGATCCCATCCTAGCTGCGCCTAGGGGTATCACAGGCACCACTGAGACACTCGCGACAAGCAAGACAAGACAAGACAAGTCAGACCACATGCATGCATCCTAAACTTTCTGCTGGTAGTTAACAAGAGCGACAAAACATTACCATCATCATTAGATATATTTTCTTAAAACAGAGTTCACTGTACGGTTCGGACTATGTCATACGCATGTGTTTATGCAACAACACGAATACCAACTGAAGTAAGACAAAGTATTCAACTAAGACCAGGGCGGTCGGGTAGCCTAGTGGTTAAAGCGTTCGCTCGTCACGCCGTAGACCCGGGTTCGATTCCGTCTAAGGCGCTGCGCAGAGTTGCGTCCCTTGGGCACGCCAGAAACCTATGATTATGGGTTCGAATCCCGGTTCGCCCTGATTATGTTTCTAGGTTTGTCAGCACCATACCCGTGCTCGTGGGAACTGGTAAACGTCGAAGACCTGCATCACTTCGAGCTTTCCTCTCACATTAAGCTGACGAGCCGCGTTATAACTGGAATACTGTTAAAAGCGGCGTTAAACCCAACTCACTCACTCACTCACTCACTCACTCACTCTCACTCACACACTCACTCACTCACTCACTCACTCACTCACTCACTCACAAATGTACCCATATCCAGTGAACGGCCCGAATCAGCTGTGGTGTGACCCCACCGTGGGGAACTTTTCCATGGAAGGGACACGACCGCCGTATTTTACTCTGACTCGGACCTAGGAGGAAACAATAGCAAGGACGTTGTACAAGATACTAGTGGAGAACATCTTGGTGGCAAAGTGTGTTTGTAGTAGATTTAATTTATCAAATTTACATAATCAACAATTAACAAACAATAATGTTTTAACACCGTTTCGAAGTGCAGAGTAGGGCACAATTAGACAACTTTTAATTAGAATCAGAGCATAATTACTGACGTCATGTCTCTTGTCTCAGTAGGAATACTATTTTCATAATCGTAAATGTATCTTTCAAATCTCCTGGGATTTATGAAATGCCCACTTCACATGTATTTAGCAACAATATTAAGCTATATTACGGCAGTCTGTAAAATAATCAAGTCTGGACCAGACAATCCAGCGATTGGCATCACTCGCACCGATCTCCGCATTTGGTATACGATGACATGCATCACACAAGCCAGCGAGCCTAACTCACTTCAGCCTCGTCAAGCATGGGTTGCTGAAGACAAATAATTATCCTAACCCGGGTCTTCACTTTGTACATGGCGTCTTTGACTCTTGGTGAGGTGGTGAGATGAAATGGGGTTTAACGTCGCGTCCAAGATTATTGCACTTATATAGCGACGTGCATGCACGTACGTGTGTGTGTGTGTGTGTGTGTGTGTGTGTGTGTGTGTGTGTGTGTGTGTGTGTGTGTGTGTGTGTGTGTGTGTGTGCTTGTACTAGATCGGACTGATGCCGATTTATAGTGCTAGCTTACTGAGATACCATGCCGCAGTTTAACATGAATATCCCACTCAGACACAGTATACTGACTCCGAGCCGACCAGTCCTTGTTTTAGCCCCTTAATGCCGAGCGCCAGACAGGGTAACCACAAGTACCATCTTTTAACGTCTTTTGGTATGACGCGGGCGGGGATCGAACTCGGATCTTCCGCTCTCCGGGCGAACGCTCTTCCACTAGACCACAGAGGGGGTCTGACTCTTATAAAACAGTAATACTGACACCAGAACTATCCTGGTCATCCATGATACCTAGAACAACTGTGACATTTAATGCACGACCAAAAACATTTCCCGAGCTGTATCAGACGTTCTTACTCCAAGTAAATAATTAAGAAGCTAATTGTAGTGATCCTGAAAAGTAAAACTATATTGAAATTGTTTTACTGCGATTCAAAACAATAAATTCTCTTGAGTTGAGAAATCAAATGAAGAACATGGCTTCAAGGCATTCTGGTGTTCTGAAATTGGTTTCTCAAGATTCACGTGATTCACGTCTTTGCATCCATTGAAAAAAGTAGCTGGCAATCTCCTGAAGTTTTGTCTTTGTCACAAACATAACAAAGTGTTTATGTAACACCGAGATTAAGGGAGAAGGCCAGTGCCACATGTGTCCCGGCCTCACACGTAACGTTAGACTGCGAGATACATAGCTTCCTACACGCAGCTTTGACGATTCAAGGTCAAGTTCGAGCTCTTGGTAACCACCATGAAATACAATAACAAGTTCAGGGGCTTTTCATATCGATCGCGGTTTTAGAGCTACCACATATGTTCCAGAGATAAACAACAAGCTTATAGAGGACATTTCTTTTCGAATCATGGGCGTTTTCTCAGATAAACTCATAAGTATACCTCTCTGGACCGGTAGCGTCCGCCCGGAGAGCGGAAGGTTCGGAGTTCGATCCCCGGCCGCGTCATACCAAAAGACGTTAAAAGATGGTATTTGTTGTTACCCTGTCTGGCGCTCGGCATTAAGGGGCTAAAACAAGGACTGGTCGGCTCGGAGTCAGTATACTGTGTCTGAGTGGGGTATTCATGTTAAACTGCGGCATGGTATCTCAGTGTGCTAGCACTATAAATCGGCATCAGTCCGGACCAGTACAAGCAGCCACACACACACGTGCATGCACGTCGCTATATAAGTGCAATAACCTTGGACGCGACGTTAAACCCCATTTCACCTCACCTCACCTCTGGACCGGTTGGTGTCGAAACGTGAAAAGTTGACTTATGTTTTCCTGAGAGTGTATTCGTAATGCTCCACTTGTTTGTAGTGACCGGGTCTGTATGGAACCAAGAGGGAGATTGGCGGTGCAGTGTCCACTATTTTTTCATTACACATATAGGTTCAGAATATACACGCATTTGTTGTTTGGGATACTGGGATGTGTAAAAAAGTAACTACATATTTTTATTGTTAGTCTATTTGAAATACATACATACATACGTACATACATACATACATACATACATACATACATACATACATACATACATACATACATACATACATACATACATACATACATACATACATACATGCATACATACATGCCACCCATGCGGACATGGTGTCCACTTTAGGGGATAGCACTTCTACCTTTGTCACTATGAAGAGGTGGGCAGCGTAGATCAAGAGGGGAAGAAATAGCCCCGAATTTGATCCAAGATCACAAAGACATTCAACTGCCACCACTTAGGGGGAAAAAATACATATTATTATTATGGATATGGGATATCGACGGCTCACAGCACGTTACATAGCCAATGCAGTAAGCACATCTCATGAGTGGTTTGAGAACATCCTGAGGAATGAACTTGGCACGACAAAGGTTCAGCACGCTGGGTTCCCAGGGTTATGAGTCTTCATCAGAAACGCTCCAGGTTCAGCATATCTCGCGAGAATGTTCGTCGTTCTGAAGCAGACACAACTGATTTTGTTGAGCGATTTGTAACTAAAGACGAGTCTTGGGTTCACCACTATCTGCCAGAACCTACAACAGCGGAAACGTCTAACGTCTCCTCTTCCGGGGCAGGAGGTCTGTTCCATCAGGAGGCAAAGTCTGTTCAATCGGGAAGCAAAGTCTGTTCCATCAGGGGGCAACGTCTGTTCCATCAGGAGGCAAAGTCTGTTCCATCAGGAGGCAAAGTCTGTTCCATCAGGAAGCAAAGTCTGTTCCATCAGGGGGCAAAGTCTGTTCCATCAGGAGGCAAAGTCTGTTCCATCAGGAGGCAAAGTCTGTTCCATTAGGGGGCAAAGTCTGTTCCATCAGGAAGCAAAGTCTGTTCCATCAGCTGAAGAAGGCGATGCCTTCATTTTTCTGGGATATTAAAGTAATCCCACAGGTGTTCTAACTCCCGAAAGGTCAGTCCATAATGACCAATAATATGCTATGAAAACTGCGTGAGAAGGCTAAACATTGAGGAAAACTCATCAAAAATGTCTTGTTTCACCACGACAATGCACCTGTACATACCTCTGTTGTCGCCATGTCTGCAATCCATGACTGTTGCTTTGAACTAATTTGAACATCCTTAGCAGAACTGGCACTGTCAGATTTCATCCTCTTCCAAACCTTCAAGAAAGAATTGTCTGAGAAGCAAATGATTTCTTCTTCTTCACTTTTTACGCCATCTTCTATACCGCCTTCTGTACCAACGATCTAGGCACTTCGGCATCGTCAGGAGCTCGAACGGATTTATTTTGAAAATTAAAAGCAACATACTCCACCATCTCATGTATGATAGCTAGCTCAGAACTTTAAGGTTGTCCGGAAACAAACTGAGGTATAGTTGTTCGACTCTGTAATGTCTTTCCCCTTACGCCTTGCATTGTGTTGGCAACGCCGTCATGTTTGAAGAGAGCAGACCGCTTCCGTGGTCTAGTGGTAGAGCGTCCGCCCGGAGAGCGGAAGGTCCGGGGTTCGATCCCCTGCCGCGTCATACCAAAAGCCGTTAAAAGATGGTACTTGTTGTTATCCTGTCAAAACAAGGACTGGTCGGCTCGGAGTCAGTATATTGTGTCTGAGTGCTAGTACAAGCACACATACACACACACACACACACACACACACACACACACACACACACACACACACACACACACGTGCATGTCGCTATATAAGTAAGCAATACTCTTAATAATCTTATAAAAACGTTAAACCCCATTTCACCTCATCTCACCTTTGAAGAGAACACGTACAAACATACAGAGGTACATTTGCTGGACCCCCTCACTGTATCTCACTTTGTGTCGTGTATGCTGTCGACAAAGCAACGATTCTTGAATAGACATTTGACGTGATATTCCTTGAGGCAACAGACAAACACGACCAGTAGAATAAGACATGCTCTAATACCCCTCCCGTGTCCTTACTGATGCTCGGTGATCCATTCATATAAATTGTAATCATTATTTTGACTTTTACTCTAAATGGAATCTGTTTCGGCAGATAATCAAGATTGATTATTCTCTGTTGCTGATGTTCTTTATTTACATTTGAACGAAATACTATACGTTACTTACACGATTCGACTATTGATATAATCTTAAATGGCAGAAACTTGTTGACAAAAAGGTAAAGGATGCCATTACATTTTTGTTGGATGTTTGTTTGAGCAGGGTTACAACTTTCAAGGCCTTACCAAAGCTTTCAAAATGTTTTTTGATAGACATGTGGTGACACTTCCTAATTTGACGCATCCGGGACAAAAAATGATGTCCTATGCCCTATGTTCCCGTGTTTCTTCAGGTGAACAATTGACTTGCCTTTCCGTGTGTTTGTGACGGATGTCACCGTTGGGGCAAGCTACGCTCACATTTTCGCGAACACCTCATAATCACATGATCCTGCTGTAGTGGGAATCGTAAATCGATTCGCGATTGCTTGTAACTACGGAAAGTGCTTTGTCGCTTTTATTAAAATGTTCTTCACCCATGGTAATATTTTCATAAAGGCTCCAGTAAGTCTTTCATTATTTGCGATATTTAGTACCATTTAGGAACCTGTTCAATTATATAAATTATGTTAAATACATTATGTTCCTATCCATATGACTCCTTTACAGACAAGCAACTATAAATAATCATATATCATTGCCGTTTTAAATTTAGTGTCTTCAGTTTTTTTAACTGACTAATACACCATAAAAGTATCCTATTTATCAGCCCAAAATATCATTTCTTCTTTGAAACACGTGGCTTGTTTGCACGTGAAGAAGGTTATGTACTGTTAGCAAGTGGCTGCGCAGAAATAATATCCCTGATATGGTCAGCGTATATTGCGATTCTCCCACACATAATCTATTTGAAAGTCATTGTCAAGTTTACTCGTGGCAGCTCTCACAACCTACACGATTATAATTTTCAATGTCATAGGATCCGTGCTTGTATTGTATGCTTGCCGTTAAAGGCGACTATATTTGTCGTAAGAGGCGAATGACGGGTCAGGTGGTCGGTCAGGCTCGCTGACTTGGTTGATGCATGCCATTGATCCCAATTGCGTAGATCGATCCTCATGATGTCAATTACTGGATTGTCTGGTCCAGACTACACAACAAACAAACAAACAAACAACAAATATTATTGCGTTGTCTTGGTGACAACATTTGCGACTGATGCTACCATTATTGAAATGGCGGCGTACGGTTTTCAAACACCTTCTTTAAACAAGCAGCATCCATTCTGATGCAAAAGGAATACATTAATTTGTTAAACGTTTTTCATTAATTATAAGCAGCAGAATCTCGATCTGCACTTGTACACAGCAGACATAATTCAAAATCAACTATCGTTTTTATTAGTCTCAACAAATTCAGTAAATGTTCTATAGTGTCACGGATTTTCTGGTTCATCGATCACTTGATTGTCTGGTTTGTTTACAGGACGCCGTCCAAGCGTGGCGTCAGACAATACATACTTCCTTTTTTATGCACATTGTGTGAGTGGTGGGTTCTTCAGGTAGGGCAGGACATGCTTACACTTTTCGCGAGCACCTGGTGTCATCACAGATTTCCAGTGATCCATTCATAAAACTTTCACAGTTATTTTGCCAAATGGAATCTGTTTCAGCGGATAATCTAGACTGACTATGTCCTTGTATTGACTATTTAATTTGTCATATTCAGAGAAACGAGTTTAAGCAACGCCATGAAATTAACCTTTAAAATCAAAATATTTGTTTCAGGAAAACTAGTCAGTTATTTAAACGTTCCCCAAACACCATACCGATGCAGATACATTAATCACACTTTGTAACTAATTTCAGTAAATTTATATAAACATTTACCATAATTGATAACATGAGTCACCAGTCAATCTATCTCACTGTAATTCGACAACAACAGAAACAAACATTTTCAATGACTTTTAAACACAGACGCCAAAATGTATCATTTTTTTTGTTCGCATAAACATAAACTCGTTGTGAAAAGATAAATATCTTTTCCAAACATGAATTTCCCTTTAAGCACTGTACAAAAGTTGAAGGGCAATGTCACCTACAATCTGCTTCTATGTTCTACACGCAATATTGACGTTTAAAGTCACATATATTATACTTCTTATATTAAAATCGACCTTAAAAGCTGCACGAGACCGACCATCACGTGTACGACTGTAACCTTTTCTGACTGGTCCTTTAGGTACCTTGAACATAACCCACGTAACGTTGTCCTTGTGGTACATAAAGCTTTTAACTTCTAAGCCCTTCCCACATGCTAAGTCTCCCAAGACCAACCAACCAGCAACGGTTCATAGATTCACGTAAACCAATCAGAACGTACACTGAGAGCGTCACCCTTGACAACCCACGCCAACTCCTAATACGGGTGTTAAATATCGAACCGGATTGGCTAAAATATCCAAATGATTTCATATCGATTATGATTACCTGACCCTGACCTGTTCACGTGCTTGAACGGCTTTAAAAACAATCTCCATAACCCAATTTCATGAGAATAGAACTCCAGCCGACCTTCCTTTACCTTCGTGCTCTGGTTTCACGTGATGCGTGGTCGGCATAGAACAAGTCATTTGATTGGATTGAAAACAAAAAAAAACCTTTTAAGAAGGTTAAGGTCTGTTGTTGGGAGATCACATGACCTAAAGCGTATTTACGGCGAGGTGCACGGGCAAACTGGCTCCGGTAAATACAAGTGGGTGAATATACCATGATTATGAATATGCAAGAGGCTACATGAGAAAAACGTGTTGACCAAGATGAATAACAAATGACAATACCTTCAAAAATGGCCAACAGTGACATTTATTATCCAACATAAAAACAATATTTTTTCCACTGCAATGGTAGGAAATTTATTGTTTATGTATTATTGTTTTTCATGTTTGTGCATTTATTGAATGATGACGGTAAACAATTGTGTAAAATTTGTATCATGATAAAAGAAGGAGTTATAATCAGAGCTGAATCACAGCCATGTCACCTACTGATCGGCACCTGGCATTCCATCAGATCTACTGGTCACATGTAACCATGTGGGCATTAAAACGTGTGTGATCTTGAAGCCGACAGAGCCTTATAGGCGATGACCACCCACTGTTACTGAACAAGTATGAATCATTGCCAATGTCAATGTCAAACCTACGCATCCCCAAGCCCGCCGCTGAGATGCGCAAGGAGTCACGATCTTCTAGATAACAATACAGCAACACGTTTTTAAAGAAATCGCCAAATGTCGTTGATGTTTTTCTTTTGTTGGAGAGCTGTTTGCAGCATCTACAGAAAGACTACCTCTTCGAAAGTAGGCTGTGGTAAGGATTAGAAAAAGGAGATTGTTTATGTTTTTTTTATTCGATACATGAAGTGTTCGTTTGGAGGTTATCCGACTAGTTAAGAATAGGAAACTTCTGTTTTAGTTGTGCATCACACATTCCGATGACGTCTTGGACATAACACTGCAAAGAAATCCGATATTTGGCCATTTAAGTTGATGAAACAGCGGGCTGTGATCCTTCAGGTGGTATGTTTATATCCAACATTTGATTATGATTATATCCGTTGTTTATTGATTACTGTTTCCTAGAATTCAGAAAAAGGATGACTCACATTATGTAGTCTAAGGCTTTGAGGGACTTTCGGGGTAGCCTAGTGGTTAAAGACCCCGGTTCGATTCCCGACATGGGTACAATGTGTGAAGCCCATTTCTGGTGTTGACCGTCGTGATATTGCGTGAATATTGCTAAAAGCGGCGTAAAACCTCACTCACTCACTCACTTAGGCTTTGATTACTCATATGATACTATGTCGTTAATAGTTTCAATGCAAGAAGTCACACAAAATACGACTCACTGAATCACACCACACCGTACTTCATCACACCGCGCCAAGCACATTGCAAGCAAATTCATCACACACCAAAGACTCGATCTGCCCAACCCATCGAAACTCCAAACAATATAGGAACATAAAGAACGTTCTTATCACACAGACCATAACCTATTTCTTACTCACCACCCCAAACCAATATTTTTACACCACCCATATTACGTGTCGATTCCCAAATTGAAACAACATGTTAACTCTGACATCTGTGCGTAAAAGAGCTTAGTGTGAAATCAACAACCAACCAACAAATGGTATACAATCAACAATTGCATTACAAAATTCACAAGGTTTACAAATCAATACAAATTACTACACAGCATACAATGGCAGTAAACAATAGAGTGGTAGTACAATACCCAAATGGCAATAGATCATATGATTGCAGGGGTCAGTATCAAATACACAAATACAGTGGTATAGCAAAAGTTAGTCACAATAATATATATTCACCCAGCGACGACAGTCTTCAAGCTTCCCAGATGGGCTGGGCAGCGAATCAGGAATGATGAGCGATCCTCACATGAAAGCTGGTTCCGATGTGATGACAATGCGTTAGAGATACATAAACATTCTTGCACCACTAAATATCCAGCCTAAACTTTTGCTGGAAATTTCACCATAGTCTACAGCCAACAACACAACACTCGACAGCCAACAACACCACGCTCCACAGCAAACTAAACAACAGCGCTCTCCCTTTACAAAAGAAAATACAACATAGCGAATTAAATGAGGTTTTAATACATCATTTGTAGTGTGGAGATTGGTTTGGTAACACTATCAAATAGTGATGACGCCAGGTGTTTGCGAAATGGTGAGCCTAATCCTGCTCCATCGGTGGCACTCGTCACAAACACATGCAGAGACGAGTCAAGTGTTTACCTGAACATATGGTGCAAGACAAAATAAGGAATTACATCGGACCTTATTTTGGCCACTGATGCGTCAAATTTGGAAATGTCCTCCCCTTGTGTTCCATTATTTGTTGAAAGCTTCACTGATGCCTTGAATGTTGTAATTTGTGGTGGCACGTGGTCCTGTGCACAGCGCACAGATCACAAATCAGGTAAAATTAAGAAACGTCGGTCTCGGAGAGTAGTTGGATGGGTGACCACGTTAAGCAGCTTGACTGAGAGATTCTAGGGCTTCGTTCCTGCCCCACACTGAAGCACATGTACCACATGTGGTGCCTCCTTAGGCAAGTGACTTTGTTCGAAATGTGCCTCTGTTCACCCAGCAGTGAGTGGGTACCCGGTATGATGAGATGGTAATCTGGCTGTTAACCTTCCAGCGCCTTACAGGCAGCTTGGGTTGTATACTCCCCAGGGAGGTGAGAATGAAAATCGAGTGCTCACTGATCCATTGACCGGGTTAATAATAGTGTAGCGCTATGAGCATCCACTTGGTGAATGGCTTCTGGCGCATTATAAATGCACTTATTATGAACCCTAATTAAACACCTTTTGAGCAAGAGGCGTATGACGCTCTTTGAAATCTTCGAAGACAGAACCTGCTCGATTGTACCTCAAAAGTTGTGAAATGTAGACCGAAAAGGGTGGATCTGCTGGAATATTGCTCGACATTAACAAAACTTGACTTTTGTCTTGTTCTCCAATGCCTACCATAGCCTTCTAAAGCACACCCCAACACGCCACAACCCCCACCCCAACATTCTAAAGCACACCCCAACACGCCACAACCCCCACCCCAACATTCTAAGGCACACCCCAACACGCCACAACCCCCACCCCAACATTCTAAGGCACATCCCAACACGCCACAACCCCCACCCCAACATTCTAAGGCACATCCCAACACGCCACAACCCCCACCCCAACATTCTAAAGCACACCCCAACACGCCACAACCCCCACCCCAACATTCTAAGGCACATCCCAACACGCCACAACCCCCACCCCAACATTCTAAGGCACATCCCAACACGCCACAACCCCCACCCCAACATTCTAAGGCACATCCCAACACGCCACAACCCCCACCCCAACATTCTAAGGCACATCCCAACACGCCACAACCCCCACCCCAACATTCTAAGGCACACCCCAACACCCCACAACCCCCACCCCAACATTCTAAGGCACATCCCAACACGCCACAACCCCCACCCCAACATTCTAAGGCACATCCCAACACGCCACAACCCCCACCCCAACATTCTAAGGCACACCCCAACACCCCACAACCCCCACCCCAACATTCTAAGGCACATCCCAACACGCCACAACCCCCACCCCAACATTCTAAGGCACATCCCAACACGCCACAACCCCCACCCCAACATTCTAAAGCACACCCCAACACGCCACAACCCCCACCCCAACATTCTAAGGCACACCCCAACACGCCACAACCCCCACCCCAACATTCTAAGGCACACCCCAACACGCCACAACCCCCACCCCAACATTCTAAGGCACACCCCAACACGCCACAACCCCGACCCCAACATTCTAAGGCACACCCCAACACGCCACAACCCCCACCCCAACATTCTAAGGCACATCCCAACACGCCACAACCCCCACCCCAACATTCTAAGGCACATCCCAACACGCCACAACCCCCACCCCAACATTCTAAGGCACATCCCAACACGCCACAACCCCCACCCCAACATTCTAAAGCCCACCCCAACACGCCACAACCCCCACCCCAACATTCTAAGGCACATCCCAACACGCCATGGTACACCACAGCCTTCTAAAGCACACACAACGCGCTACACCCCATCCCAACATTATTCCATTGACCACACCGGACCACAACGGACCACAACCACAACCACATAACACCACACCACACCACACCACACCACACCACACCACACCACAGTGTCTAAGCTTCACATCCAACAACACCTTACGCCACAGCACCCACCCTCCAAGGCCAGAGCCCAACCCCCCCCCCCCCCCCCCCCCCCCCCCCCTCCGCCCCCACTACTCACCCATCACCACCTTTCCTTGTGCACACAAGTGATTATAACACTACCCCTGCTAGTTATGTGAATAGCGCCTAGTGCAAACGTTTAGCAGCATACCCATAGGTAACAGTAACAAGACATATAGTACCGTTAGTATACCCCAGGAGAGCCGTTACCGCAGTTCTTCAGCAAGACACCTCGTTGACTAGTGTTGGGGAATCAGATCCCCAATTGCAAAATCTCTTCCCAGTGAAATGAAAGTTAGATTAAAATATCTTATGGATAAAATGACAGCAATGCGTGGATCGTGTTCCATCTCTGACGCAGAGAACGTAGTCACTTATTTAATATTTTCTGGCAGATGATTCTAAAATAGCCATACAAAAATGAAGATGGCGTAATTTCGTTTGTATTATCATAATGCTTGTTTCAAAACGAGGCTGGGAAAAAAGTGGCTTTGTTAACTTTCAATGATTACAAGGTAGACGTTTTGTAAACATACGCGACAAAACAATGGTGATTCGTAAATACATGTTCATGATATAGTCGGAATCGTACAAGGGACTCTGCTTTAAGCAGAGGCTTGTTTTGATTATAGAAACTGTATGTCGTTGTACTTATGATTTTGTTTGTTTATTTGTTGTTTAACGCCGCACTCAGCAATATTCCAGCTATGTGACGGCGGTCTGTAAATAATCGAGTCTGGACCAGACAATCTAGTGATTGACATCATGAACATCGATCCACCCAATTGGGATACGATGATATGCATCAACCAAGTCAGCGAGCCTGACCACCCGATCCCGTGAGTCGACGCTTACGACAAGTATAGATGAATGCATATCTGAGCTTGGCCAGAGCAGCTTCAATGAACCTTTCCATACACTTTCATGTTAGGATGCCATTGTCATACGTTTGCGGCCCAGTATTCAAATAGTGCAGATATGCAAATATGTGAAATATGTTAGGTTAAATAATTTTTAATAATGATAATTCCACACAATGTGAAGTTTGACGTATTATTATAATGTAGTAAATGCACAAGTGCACAAGTACTCAGCTGATTGGTCAGACCAAGCAATATGTCGTCATATAATATTTCGATAGTTCATAATAGTACGATATTACATCACCGATGTTTCATGACGCTACACCTGACTATGTCACGTGAGCAATAGGCTCAGTTACATGGCAGTCTCCTTGAAGGTCTCGTATTTCATAAGTTTGTCGTCAAGCAATTTGAGGTGGCACGGGTGTCCCAGTCGTCGAAGGCGCCGCGATTCGCTGTGCAGAGTTGCGTCCCTTTGGCACGTCAGAAACCTATGATTGTGGGTTCGAATCCCGGTTCGCCCCGATTATGTTTCTAGGTCTGTCAGCACCATACCCGTGCTCGTGGGTTTCACCAAAGCGGTAAACGTCTGAGACTTGCATCACTCCGGGCTTTCCTCCCACATGAAGCTGACACGCCGTGATATAACTGGAATACTATTAAAAGAGGCGTTAAATCCAACGCACTCAAGCAATTTGTATTATAATGACACGTGGTGATATATGGCATAGCTGTCCAGCGATATTTATGTTGTGGAGGGTGAATACCATTTTATATTGATTTGTTCTAAACACAGTGCGTTACGAGAGAGATATGTTCCTAAAAGATTCGTTATTTATCCAAATTGAACACTGCTTACATTTAATGCGTTAATCTAATGTAAAGATAATTTTTAAAAATGCTATGTACGTTTATCAGGCCAATACGTTTATGAAACAACCAACCTATGGTCTGTATTTCTTAGATTTGTGTTTGTGTACAGTTGGGCTACTTGTATGCTGTGAATTTGGCCGATGGTCTACATTGTACATTCTTACGAAATAAGATATAGCATAGTCTACTCGCAACTCTGAATTATAGATTGTCCCCCAAAATCAACAAAACCCATATCCAGAATTATAAGACATCTCTACAAGATACCATCGGGTATTATCAGTATATCATTCATAAACACATGTTTATGATTTAGTCAGAATCGTTATAAAGACTCTCCTTTAAGTAGAGATGTCTTATGATTATGGGAAGAAAAGTTTGTCCCTTTTATTTAATTTAGTGTTTACAATCTCACAGACTTGAAACACATCTCGTTTAGTCGTTATGTTTAGACATAGGTTGCTAAAGACCATTGTACCGAGAAGGAATTTTACCCTTGGGCATACTATTATGAGTAATACTATTCTCAACAAAAAAAGTTCCTGTGACACCAATATTTTAGTATATTTTTCAAACAAGTAAAGTTTGGTTTTCAATATTGTAGTACATGTATGGAATCAAGTTACATAAACGCAACTGCTACAGAAAAGCATGCATTCCATGCAAATGTTGACTTTTATGCAATCCCCATGCATTTCACTACCCAAGAATGGGTATAAAAACATGTGCGTTAATGGGATTCCATAATGCATTTGTTTACCACTCAGAAAAACAACAAAATTACGCAATTTTTCAACATTACGAAATGCCACGCCTGTCCGAAAATGAGCATCTGCGAACCATTGGTATGCTTGAAGCAGGATCGAGTCAACCTGATGTTGCAAGACAATTTAATGTCCACAGAAGCACCATTTGGTGTTTATGCCACCTTTGGCAACAGACGAATACAGTCAGAAACCATCCTCGGAGTGGCAGGCCACGCGTAACCAAGCATCGACAAGACAACTGGATTCGAACAACACACCTACGAAAAGGATTCCAGCCAGTAACAGTGACTGCAAGAAGCATCCCTGGCCTTCGACGAATATCTTCACAAACCGTACGTCGTCGCCTCAGATGTGCAGGAATTGTCGCCAGAAGACCCGCCAGACGTCCCATTTTGACAGGAAACCACCGTCAAGCACGTCTACAGTGGTGCAGACATCATCTACGCTGGACGCCCATGCAGTGGGGACAAGTTTTATTCACTGACGAGTCTCGTTTTCACCTCAGCCACATCGATGGACGGATTCGAGTGTACCGACGTCGAGGTAACGTCAATTATTATGTCGTTACGTCAATCATTATGTCGTGGAAGAAGATCGGTTCGGGGGCGGCAGCGTTATGGTATGGGGTGGGCTTACAGCAAGACAGAGCACCCGTTTGATAGTGGTAGAGGGAAATCTCACTGGACAGCGCTACCGCGACGAGATCATCGGCCCTGTTCTACCGTTTTTGCATCGTCATGGCCCAGGCATTACCTTTCAACATGACAACGCCCGGCCTCATATTGCTCGACTTGTTCAGGATTCTCTTTAACAAAACAACCTGAATGTCATTCCCTGGCCGGCTCGCTCCCCTGATCTCTCACCAATCGAGCACCTGTGGGATGAGATGGATCGACGCCTTTGACGTCAACCACGTGTTCCACAGGCACTCCAGGAACATGCTCCAGCAGATATGGACAGATATCCCACAGGACTTTGTTCGACGCCTTGTCCATTCCATGAGACGAAGATGTGTTGCTTGCATCGCAACCAGAGGTGGACGCACACGCTATTGATTTGTAAATTGACATTTTGGCATGTTCATGTTTTTTTTAATGAAATCACGCATTTTCTGAAGTCAGTATGGCAAATTAAACCATTTGAACAATTAAAGCAGTCTTTTATCTGTTGCAAACCGAAATTGTTTCAGATTTGGTAAAAAACATAACATTGCATTAAATCTTTTTTAATGTCACAGGAACTTTTGTTGTTCAGTATATATGATAGTTTTACGCCGCCTTTAGAAATAGGCTTCACACGTTGTATCATGTGGGAATCGAACCTGGGCCTTCGGTGACACGAACGAAACCTTTAACCACTAGGCTACGTTGCCCCCTCCAAATTCATTCCTCATAAGACGTATCAAGTTAACTATAGTTCGGATAAACCAGGTTTCACTGTGTACGGTGGCTGTGGCTAAACGAAATGTGTTTTAGAACACTCCCCATTTGGCTTCTTGCGATATCTGATCGATTGGTTGCATCAGGTTGAAACGTTCCTCCGAGACAAATCAATTTCTGACTGTTATTTATGTTAAGATCGTGGTGACATTCAGATCCAGTAGCCTTGACCTAGAGATAGTTAACCAGGTTCCTAGTCAGCGACATCGCATGGCATATAGAAATACAGTTAATTTATGAAAAAAGCAGTCTTGTGCAATACGCCAAGCGATACAATAGCCTAGGTCGCTATATTGCTGAAATGATGCCGATGCGACGATAAATTTTAACTCACTTACAACAGCCTATTGATGGTTAAGGATATTCTACACAAAGAACAGTTTATTGTACTGTCCGGTTTCATAGTATACCAGCATACTAAATATTACATGGTTCTATGTCGTTGTCCCCACGCTGTGATGCAAAGAATATATGCCGCATTTTCTTCAATATACGTTTTGCCTGGATTCAGAGAAAATGTGTTTTTGGGGAGTATTGATGACCTTCCAGCGAAAACATGGCGGGGTGGGAAATGGTAGGTGGGTGGTTGTGGTGGTTGAATATGCGGATTTTCTTCAATATACGTTTTGCCTGGATTCAAAGAAAATGTGTTTTGGCGATTTTTTTATTACCTTCCAGCGAAAACATGGCGGGGGTGGGATGGGGTAGGTGGGTGGTTGTGGTGGTTCAATATGCGGATTTGAACCCAGACTTCGGCGTTATGAGGGAACGTTTTCACCATAAACTGCCCCTGTTTTATTTAAAGAAACAGAATATCATCTTAGAATCATGATCAGCGTGAAGTCTCCGGATTACTATATATACCTTACTTAAACT